AACCACCTGTATTTCGAGAAGGGCCCCCCCCCCCCGCCCCTGCATCCCCCACCCACTGGCCAGCGCACCCCTTTCCAGCCCTGACCTTTCTATATTTCGGACACGCCCCCCCCCCCCTCCCCGCGCGCCCCCTCCGCGCCGGACCCATGTTATTTCGCACTGGCCACCCCTGTCCGCCCGAACCCCCTTTGTCGGCACGGCCCCGCGCCCACCTTCCGCATTTCCCCCACACCCACCAGCCATCGCGCCCCTCCCGCCCCGACCCCTGCATGTCGGCTTGGCACACCCTTCCGCCCGACCCCTTTCTGTCGGCACGGCGCACCCAATCCGCACCCCCCCCCCCCCAGCCCCGCCCACCAGCCAGCGCGCCTTCCCCGCCCGACCCTTTGTATACCGGCACGGCACACCCCTCCGCCCCGATTCCTTTTTATTTCGCACGGCACACCCCCTCCGCACCCCCCCACCCACCAGCGCACGCGCTGCCCCCCCGCCCCGACCCTTTCATTTCGACACGGCACACCCCTTCGCCCCCGACCCCCTGTACAACGGCACGGCACACCCCACCAGCCAGCGCGCCCTCCGCCCCGACCCCTTCCTTTTATTTTCGAGCACGGCACACCCGGGCCCATCCCCCACGTACCAGCCGTAGGCGCCCCCCTCCAGCCCCGCGACCCCTTTATTTCCGGCACGGCCCCATTCCATCCCCGCGCGCCCTGCGCGCCCCCCCCCTCGCCACCAGCTCCACCGCGCCCCCCATACCACTAGCCAGCGCGCCCCTCCAGCCCGACCCCTTTATTACGCCCCCACCCACCCACCCACCCACCCACTCACAAGCCAGCGCGCCCCTCCGCCCCGACCCCTTGATTTCGACGCGGCTCACCCCTCCGCCCCGACCCCTTTATTTCGGCGCGGCACCGCCCCCTCCGCGAGCGCCCCCTCCGCATCCCCCCCACCCTTCAGCTAGCGCGCCCTCTCCGCCCCGACCCTTTTGTTTTGGCGCGGCACCGCCCCCTCCGCCCTGACCCATTCATCTCGGCACGGCGCCGCCCCCCCCCACCCCGAGCGCCCCTCCGCACCCCCCCATCCACCGGCCAAAGCGCCCCCTCCGCCCCGACACCCACATCCCGAACGCCCCCTCCATCACCCCATTCACCGGCCAGGGCGCCCCCTCCGCCCCGACACCTTCCTTTTTGCACAGAAGCCATGGCGAGCGTGCCACTTGTTTCGGCACGGCACACCCCCTCCGCATCCCCCCACCCACCAGCCAAGGCGCCCCTCCGCCCCGACCCCTTTCATTTCGGCGCAGCACACCCCTCCGCCCCGACCCCTTTTATTTAGGCACGGCCCACCGACTCCGCATCCCCCCACCCACCAGCCATGCGCGCCCTCCGCCCCGACCCTTTTTTATTTCGGCACGGCACACCCATCCGAGAGACGACCCCTTTTTCTATGTTCGGCACGAACAAACACCCACACACACACACACACACAACAACACACACAACTCCGATCACCCCCCACACCCACCCTGCCAGCGCGCCCCTCTGCCCCGAACCCTTTTATTATTCGGAACGGAACAACCATCCCGCCCCGACCCCCCCATTTCGGCCACGGCACACACGTTTCGCGCATTCCCCCACCCACCAGACAGCGCGCCCTCCGCCCCGACCCCTGCATTTTCGGCACGCACACACACCCGCAAACCCCCCACCCACCGCCAGCGCGCCCCCCTCCCGCCCCGACTTTTACTCCGGCCACGCCCCCCCCCCCCCCCGCGCGGCCCCTCCGCACCCAGACCCCTCTTATTTCGTGCCACACGGCACGCCCCTCCGCCCCAACCCCTGTATTTTCGGCACGCACACACATCCGCATCCCCCCCCACCCGCCAACCAACGCGCCCTCCGCCCCAACACCTCGATTCTGGCACGGCACACCTCTCTGCCCCGACCCCATTTATTTCGGCACGACACACCACCTCCACATCCCCCACCCACCCGCCAGCCAGCGCGCCCTTCCGCATCGACCTCTTGATTCCGGCACGGCACACCCCTCCGCCTCGACCCTTTTATTCCGGCACGGCACACCGCCTCCGCATCCCTTCACCCACCAGCCAGCGCGCCCCCCCCGCCCCGACCCCTTCATTTCGGCACGGCACCCCCCCCCTGCATCCCCCCACCCGCCAAACAGCGCACCCTCTCAGCCCCAACCCCGACCTCTTTACTCCGGCACGAACACCCCCCCCCGCGCGCTCCTCTTTTTGCCCCGACCCCATTTGATTTCGGCACGGCACACCCCCCGCCCCGACGACGAATTTATTTCGGCACGGCACAACACCCCCTCCGCATCCCACCAACCACCAGCCGCACCAGCCACGGGCGCGCCCTCGCCCCCGACACCTGTACAACGGACATCGGCACACACCTCCGCCCCGGACTCCTGTATTTCGGCACGGCGCACCCTCCGATCACCCCACCCACCAGCCAGCGCGCCCCTCCGCCCCGACCCCTTTTCTACCGGGCACGGCACACCCCTTCGCCCGACCCTTTACGCGACACGGCACACATCCCCTCCCGCATTCCCCCCAACCACCAGCCAGCGCGCCCCGCCGCCCCCCGACCCCCCCTTTTTTTATTTCGGCACGGCACACCCCTCCGCCCCGACCCCTTTTATTTTGGCACGGCACACCCCCTCTCATCCCCCCACTCAACAGCCAGCGCGCAGCGCGCCCCCTCCGCCCCACGACCACTTTATTTCGGCACGGCCCCAACTCCCTCCCCGCGCGCCCCGCGCGCTCCCTCGGCATCCCCCCCACCCACCAGCCAGCGCGTTCCTCCGCCCCGACCCCTTTTTTATTACGCCCCCACCCACCCATCGACCCACTCACAAGCCAGCGTGCCCCTCTGCCCCGACCCTTTGTATTTCGGCACGGTACACCCCTCCGACTCTCCCCCTTCTTTTGTGTGCAGGAGCCATGGCACACGTGCCACTTGAAATTATCATGCTGCTTACTACTAGCATTCATGATAATAGTATGATGGGTAGTGTTGGTAGTAGTAGTAGTAGTAGTAGTAGTAGTAGTAGTAGTAGTAGTAGTAGTAGTAGTAGTAGTAGTAGTAGTAGTAGTAGTAGTAGTAGTCAGTAGTAGTAGTCAGAAGTAGTAGTAGTAGTAGTAGTAGTAGTAGTAGTAGTAGTAGTAGTAGTAGTAGTAGTAGTAGTAGTAGTAGTACTACTAATTTACTTACTACTACTACTATACTGGCAGAAAGCAGCAGCCAGCAGCAGCAGTAGTAGCCGTAGTCGTAGTCGTAGTCGTAGGTCGTCCGTCGTAGTCGTAGTCGTAGTTCGTAGTCGTAGTGGTAGTGGTAGTAGTGCAGTAGTCGTAGAGTAGTAGTAAGCAGTAGTAGCAGTGAGTAGTAGTAATACAATAGTAGTAGTAGTGTAGTCGTCGTAGTCGTCGACGTCGTCGTCGTAGTCGTAGTAGTAGTCTAGTCGTAGTCGTAGGTCCGTTTAGTCGTTAGTCGTATCGTAGTCGTAGTCGTAGTCGTAGTCGTATTCGATAGTAGTAGTTAGTAGTGTAGTAGCAGTAGTAGAAGTAGTTTAGTTAGAAGTAAGTAGTAGTAGTAGTAGTAGTAGTAGTAGTAGTAGTAGTAGTAGTAGTAGTAGTAGTAGTAGTAGAAGTAGTAGTAGTAGTAGTAGTAGTAGAAGTAGTAGTAGTAGTAGCAGTAGTAGTAGTAGTAGTACGATTAGTAGTCGCTTTAGTCTTAGTCTTATCAGCATTACTAGTATTACTACTAGTGTCACTAGCCTTAGTAGTAGTAGTAGTAGTAGTAGTAGTAGTATTACTATTACTAGTATTAGTATGTTTATTGTTAGTGGCATCGGTAGTATTAGTATTATTGCTAGGGTTAGTATCATTACTCCTGATCATCATCTTCCTCATCATCATCAGCAACAGCAGCAGCATCGTCATCATCATCATCATCAGCAGCATCGTCACCATCATCATCACCATCATCCTCATCATCAGCATAAGCATCATCAGCAGCAGCTTCAGCACCAGCATTAGCATCATCATCATAATAATCAGCAACAGCATCATCATCAGCATACTCATCATCTTCATCATCAGCATCATCATCTTCATCATCATCGTCATAATCCGCATCATCATCAGCAGCAGCATCAGCATCATCATCATCATCATCATCAGCATCATCATCATCATCATCATCCCACCTCCTCCTCGTCCTCCTCACCCTCCTCCTCCTCTTCCTACTTCTCCTATCTTCCTCCTCCTCCTTCTCCTCCTGCCTCCTCCTCCTCCTCCTCCTCCTCCTCCTCCTCCTCGTCCTCCTCATCTTCCTCCTCCTCGTTTGATTACCCCAGCAAAATACTTGAATAGCAGCGAAGGTGAAGAGGCGGGTCGAGTAGGAGGTTGGCAAGTGAGAACGTGTATATCTACTCCTAAGAATTCCTGGAATCGCCGACACGCTGGACAGGGGTGAAAGCACAGCATTGTGCACCGCACGTGGCCGTCAAGACCAAAAATGCAGCCCGCACTGAGGTGGGAGCTAGAGCCCTCTAGCACAACGGCAGAAAGCCTTCTCCGAAACGGCCGTCCGGGAGCGGCGGTCCTGGGGCTCCCTATCCCCCGTGTCGGCAATTTACGTCCACCAGATCATTACCCTGTGATTCTACGGCAGGGAACTTTAGCTTCGCGTGTCGCGCCGCTGCTTCTGGCCCCTCCCGCTTCGGCGCGACACGATATCCACAACCACATCCAGGTCCCCAAGCGTCAGCGTCATGAGCCTACCCCGGCCTCCCGCAAAGAGCAGAGCGACACGCTGTCCGCTTGCAGGGTATAATCAGCGCGTCGCCGGGGCCGCCGCGGCGACACGCTGAGCAAAAGATCGCGACCGCATTGGGAAAAAAACGCACAAGAAAAAAACGTTTTAGAGTTTATATATATATATATATGACCCGCCCGCACGGCGGCGGGCCTGCCCCTCCGTGAGCTGGCGGCCTGCGTCGTCAACCGCGCCTCGGGGCCGCACCGCGCCCCGGTACCCCCGGCGGCGCCCACCCGACCCCTACCCCTCCCCTCTGGTCCCCTTCTCCCCCGCTCCCTCCCTCAAACCTCCACCTCCCCCCCCCTTTTCCTCCCCCCCCCCCCTCGACCTCCGCGTCCACCTCCACCCCCACCCCCTTCTTGGACCTCCTGGGGGCTTGTAGTCGCCACGGATACACCGGCGTCGCACACCGGGTCAGGATGATCAGGGTGGACCCTGGGAGAGGTCCCGGGACAGATTGTGAACAACTTTGGGCCAGGCCGCCGTTGTTTCAACTGGGATCCCCTGCATTTTCCATATTTTCTGGAGCTTCGTCTCCCCCTCCACTTCCCATATGTTCCCATGCCTTCCTGGGCATCGACGACTATTCGTGTCTGTGTGTGTTTCTGTTCCGTCCTGAAGGACAGGGGCCGGCTGCACGCAAGAGAGAGAGAGAGAGAGGCCCGGGCAAGAGCGACCTCTGCTGCGCGGCCTGCTGGCCGCAGCGTGCGGTGCGCGACCGCAGCGGCCTGCGTGCTCGAGCGCGGCCCCTCCGCGCGCCCCACCCCCCCCACGAAAGCCGCGCACCAGAAACCACTCCAGCGGAGGGTTGCTCTCACGTGTACGGCAGGTTCGCGTCGTGTCGACCCTGGCGCTGGTTCCTGACACCGCGGGGCTCGTGCAAACTTGAAGGATCGGACGTTCCATGAACGCTGGATCGTTCAACAACGGGCCGATTCTGGGCCACGGGCGGCGTTCAACCTTAAACGCACGCGGTGGGGTCGCCGCCAGTCGGCACGACGCGAATCTACCGTAGCCGGTACACCGGGGACGCACTCACCCGTGCGAGGCGGGGATTTATCCATATCCACCGCCTGAGAAGCGGCGTCCTGGTGCCCCAGCGGGCGGTGGATGTGGACATGATTTGGCCCCGATGGGGGCCTGACTCTATAGATATACATACACACATGCATACATGCATGCATACATACATGCATGCATGCATACATACATGCATACATACAAACAAACATACATACATGCATACATGTATTCATACATACATGCATACATTCAGAGATACATACATACATGCATACATGCATACATGCATATAATCTATCAGACTGCATTGGCGCTTCGCGCCATGCACCCTATTCCTTGTAGTTTCGACTGCAGGCGGCATGCGTGCGCGTGGACATGGGGCGGACCACCGCCAAGTCGGAATGGGTGATGAGTTCCTGAGCGGGAGCGATCGGACAACACCAGCTAAGGCCATCTCAGGGCGTTTCGGGGCCCAGAGGCGCGAATCTGTCTGAGGCAAGTGGTTGGGCTAGCATGAAGAAGAGCATCCGCCTCCTCTTTCTCCTCTTCCCCCTTTTCCTCCTCCTTTCTCCTCCTCATCCTCTTTCTCTTCTCTCCTCCTCCTCCTCCTCCTCCTTCTCCTCTACCTCCTCCTTCTCCTCTACCTCCTCTACCTCCTCCTCCTCCTCCTCCTTCTCCTCCTCTACCTCCTCGTCCTCCTCCTCCTCCTCTTCTTATTATTCTTCTTCTTATTGTTATTATTATTATCATTATTAATATTATCATTATTATTATCATTATTAGTATTATTAATATTATTATTAATAATATTATTATTAGTATTCATATGCTTCTTATTATTCTTATTCTTATTACTACTATCATTATTATGATTATTAGTAGTAGTATTATTATTATTCGTAATATTATTTCTCCTCCTCCTCCTCCTCCTCCTCCTCCTCTCCTACCTGTTGTCTCCCCCCCCCCCCCCCCCCCCCTCTCCTCACCTCCTCTCTACATTCTACAAGACGCACCTTGCCCCGACGCCTCCTCAGCCTTCTCCTCCGCCTCCTCCTCGTCATTCCTCTCTTCTTATTAATTAGTACTTTATTTCTTATTATCTTTTCTATTAATCTGTATTTACTATAATTTTATAATATTATTAATCTTAATCGTTTCTTATTAACTATAGATCATGAGTTTTTTTTGTACTATTAGTTTAGTATTATTATTAGTATCAATATTATCTTAGTTTTATTATATTAGTAAATATTAGTTATTACTTTGTTATATTAGTGTAACATTATTAGTACTAGTAGTACTATTAAATGATTACGATTAAGTAGTTATTATGATTGTATTCTTATTAGTATATTATCGTATTTTCATTATTCCGCCTCCTCCTCTTCCTCCTTCCTCCTCCTGCTCCTCCTGCTCCTGCTCCTCCTCCTCCTCCTCCTCCTCCTCCTCCTCCTCCTCCACCTCCTACAGAACATGCCATTTTCGGCATGCGCGCTGCTGGTCTGGCAGCTTCGAGCCCCAAAGAGGCCCAAGTCTGGCCCAAGAAGGCCCAGAGAATTGAAATTAAATGAAAACCCTTTGTGAAATCAATGTTTTTAGCCTTCTCACCTTTTCGCTAACGATCGGCTCTTGAGGCGTCAAGATAGCCCAAGGACGGCTCCAAATGAGTCACCAGACGAGCCTCAAAAAGGCCCAAGGCTGGCTCAACAGGGCCCAGAGAGTCGGAAATCTGAGAAAACCCATTGGAAAAGCAATGTGTGCGGCCTTCTCGCTTTTCCTTTCCAGTTGGCTCGAGATGGCCTCAGAGAGGCGTAAGCCGAGGCCCACGGAGGCTCAAGGCTGGCCGAAGAGGGCACAAAGAACTGAAAATCTGTGATAATCCATTGGAAAATCAATGTCTTTGGTCTTCTCGCCTGGTCGCTTCCGATTGGCTCTTGAGGCATCAAGATAGGCCCAGGACGGCTCCAAATGAGTCCCCAGACGAGCCCCAAAGAGGGCACGGACTGGCCCTAGAGGGCCTGGAGGTTCGAAAACCAATGTTAAAACCCATTGGAAAAGCAATGTTTTCAGTCTTCTCGCCTTTTCGCTTCCAGTCGGAAGATAGCCCCAGGATGGCTCCAGAGAGGCGCAAGCCGAGGCCCACACAGGCCCAAGGCTGGCCGACGAAGGCCCAAAGAATTGAAATTAAATGAAATCCGTCTGGAAAATCAATGTTTTTAGCCTTCTCACCTTTTCGCTAACAATCGGCTCTTGAGGCGTCACGATAACCCAAGGACGGCTCCAAATGTGTCCCCAGGACCTCCCTCCTCCCTCCTCCCTCCTCCCTCCTCCTCCTGCTCCTCCTCCTGCTCCTCCTCCTCCTCCTCCTCCTCCTCCTCTGCTCCTTCCTCTCCTCCTCCTCCTTCCTCCTCCTCCTCCTTGCTTCTCCTCCTCCTTCTCCCCCTCCTGCCCTCCTCCTCCTCCCTCACTCCATCCTCCTCCTCCTGCTACTTCCCTCCCTCCCTCCCTCCCTCCCTCCCCATGCCACCCCTCCCCCTTCCCCCCCTCCCCTTTCCCATCCCTCCCTCCCCTCCCCTCCCTCCCTCCCTCCCTCCCTTCCCTCCTCCTCCCTACCTCCCTCCTCCCTCCTCCCTCCTCCCTCCTCCCTCCTCAGAAATGGCCTCGGCGGCGCGCCGAGGGGTGAAGCGAGGAGGGGGCGGGTCTCCTCAGAAGGCGGCGAGGCTTCTGAGACGCCCTCCGGCCTTCTGAGAGGCCTTCCGTGTCCTCGTGAAGACTTCGACAGCTTCTCAGGAGGCCAGAGGCCTGCTTAGCTTTCTGAGACGGCCCGACCCCTCTGCCTTCCCCACCGGACCCGCCGCCGACTTGACGAGGACGATCGACCCCCGCTGGAGCCTCTGAGCTCCGCGGCCCTCGCGGCGTCCCCGCGGCACAGCTCGTCCACGCGCTCGGCCAACGCCGCCAGAAGCCGGTCCGTCTGCGGCGCGCCCCGCCACGGGCGCGCCCCGCCGCACGCGCGGCCCGGCTGCGGCGACGAGCGACGAGCGACGAGCGACGAGCGACGAGCGACGACACCGACGCCGCCGCCGCCGGCGACGACGAGCGCAGCCGCCGACGGTAGCGACGGCAGCGAGGAACGCCGACGCCGAACGCCGAACGCCGCCGCCACCGCCGCCGCCGCCGACGAAGACGACGAAGACGACGGCGAGGACGAAGACGACAGCAATGGCGGCACCGACGGAAACACCGCCCGGGCCACCGACAGCGACGACCAAGAAGAACGCGACGCCGCCGCTGTTGACGACGACGACAAAGATGACGAAGAAGGCGGCGCCGACGTCGACGATGATGACGATGACTATGAGGCGGCGGGGAGGACGACAAAGACGACGACGAGAAAGCAGAAGGAGCGGTCGGAGACGGAGAAGCAGTAGGAAATGAGTTCCAGGACGTTGTAGGAAATGCTAAGGTGCTCTTGGACATTCAAGGGCTTTCTATAAGCCTCTAGGCCACGGCGCTTCATCTGGGGACTGACACCCTGAGACCACGATGACGCTTTAAATTCGTCAACTTTACTTTGATTTACTCCGCTTCGCATTGTGCTGATTTGCAAAGCTCTGGCTTGGATTGCTGTGTATTGGGTTAGTTTGCAGTGCGCTGCGTTGCTTTGCTTCGAGTTGCATCGCACTGCATTGCATGACTGTGCCGTGCAATTGCTGTCCGATGGTTGGATTCCACCGCATCTACTTGCGGTGCTTGCATTGCATGGCTGTTGATTTGCTTTGCTCTGCGCGTTGCGCTGCTCTGCATTGACCCGTATTGCGTTGTTTTGCAACGACTTGCTCTCTTTGCACTGCAGTGCCCTGAATTGCACAACTTGTATCATGGATTGCGCTGCATTGCAACACGTTGCTTTGCTCCACGTTACATTGTTTTCCAGAGCGCTGCTTTGCAGTACATTGCGATGCACACATGCGCGTTGCATATCATTGCATTATATGTGCTTCGCACTGCGTTGCATCGCCTTGCATTGCGAAGCTTCGCATTGTTTTGCACAAAACTGCTTCGAATTGAGTTATCGCTGCATGTCAGTACTGCGGAGCTTCGCATATCAGTCCTGTCCTTTGCGTCTTGGTTCACTGTCTTGCATTGTCGTTGCTTGCGTCGTTTTCCACTGTATTTCACTCTTTTGTGTCGCCTTTCATTGTTTTGCACATCATTCCTGCCCTCATCGTGTCGCGGCCTCTCGCAGTTGAACGAAACAAAACATAAATGCGATGCAGTGCAGTGCACTGCAGCCCATGCAAAGCTGAGCATTCAACTAAAACTCAGAGCAACCAAGACCGTGTCCATGGTGCCAGACGTCAGCACGTTAACACCAGGATCAACGAAGCTAAGCAAACCAAACCGAGCAAAGGAACGCAGTGCCATGCAACGCTATGCAATTGCGATGCTTTGATATGCACACCAAGGCAGGCTTAAACAACTCAAGGCGGTTCAAAGCGCAAAGTAACGCGATGTTGTAACCTGTGGCAGCGGAATGTCATACTTTGATGTGTTCGAATGTGTTGTGCAGTCCTGCGGACACCTATAGCATATACATATATAGACTGTCTCTAGCCTGTCTTCGGCTGGTCCATGGTGATAAAAACGGCCCTACGTACGTTCCGTCATATCTGGAGGCCCGTCTGGCATTCGAACGAGAACCGGCTCGAGACCCGCTGACTGAACCTTTCGCACTCAGCGCTGGCCGAATCCTCTGCGTCCCAGGCCTGCTTGGGCCCCCAGGCCAGGGGCGACACCCAACTTCTGGAGTTGGGACCTGCCTGTCCAGGGACCTCCACGGACCTACACGGGGGGGGGCTCCTTGGGCCCGGTTTAGCGTTGCGGGGCCTGGCTTGGCTCGCGCGACGTGGCACCGCGTGGCTCCAACCTGGCCCGGACCTGCTCTGCGTGGATCTCCGCTGGGCTGAAGTGAAGCCGAGTGTTTGGAGGCTGGGACCTGCCCGTGATCGGCCCTCTCGGGGCGGCGGGCGGCGCACGGTTCCGAGGCGAGGAATTGGGCGGCGGGCGCCTCGGCGGGCGCCGCGGCGGGCGGCTGCGCGCTCAGCGCCTCCAGGCGTTCGCGCAGGCTGCCGACCTCCCGGGAGAGCTCGGCGAGCTGCCCGGGCGCCGCCTGGCGCCGCGGCCCGTCCCCGCTGCCTCCCCCCCCCCTCCGCGTTCGCCTCCCAGCCCCCTGTCCCGTCCGGCCCGCCCTCCCCCCCTACGCCTTCCTCCCCATCCAGCCTCACGTGCCACCCACCCCGTCCACTCCGCCGCCGCTGCAGCCCGCCTGCAGCCCAAGACACCGCCCTCGCCAGTCTCACTCCGCCATCCCCCTCGACTCCGCCCTACCCCTTCCTCGTCCGCGTCACCATCCCCAGAACAGCGTCCACTCGGGCGCTGCAATCTCTCTTCCTCCTCCCTCCCCCCCTGTGCTGATGGCGTTGGGCCCCAAGCATTTCGCGCCCTCGCTGAATCAGCGCCAGAGGCCCGCTGCCACTGCTCGCTCGTCGCCCCCACGTGCACACCTTTTTTCTGGCAAGATTCCTCTACGCCGAGCAACTGCCTGCACGCAACGTGCCGCGGCGCGCACTCAAAATCTTGGCCACGCTGCAGCGTGAACTTGGGCCTCGGGCATTCCGAGATGATCATCTCCCCGAGACTGACGCGGACGACGCGGCCCGTCGACGAAGCGGCCCTTGCGAGAAGGCAACACCAACTTTGGCCTCCTGCCAACACGAGTTGGGACCTGCCTGTCCGGGGACCCCACGGACCGGGGCCCTTGGGCCCGGTTTAGCGTTGCGGGGCCTGGCTTGGCTCGCGCGACGTGGCACCGCGTGGCTCCAACCTGGCCCGGACCTGCTCTGCGTGAATCTTCGCTGGGCTGAAGTGAAGCCGAGTGTTTGATGGAGGCTGGGACCTGCCCGTGATCGGCCCTCTCGGGGCGGCGGGCGGCGCACGGTTCCGAGGCGAGGAATTGGGCGGCGGGCGCCTCGGCGGGCGCCGCGGCGGGCGGCTGCGCGCTCAGCGCCTCCAGGCGTTCGCGCAGGCTGCCGACCTCCCGGGAGAGCTCGGCGAGCTGCCCGGGCGCCGCCTGGCGCCGCGGCCCGTCCCCGCTGCCTCCCCTCCCCTCCGCGTCGCCTCCCGCCCCCTTCCCGTCGGCCCCCGCCCCCCCCCCCTACCGCCCTTCCTCCCCCATCCCGCCTCACGTGCCACCCACCCCCGTCCACTCCGCCGCCGCTGCAGCCCCGCCTGCAGCCCAAACCCCGCCTCGCCCGTCTCACCTGCGCCATCCCCCTCGACTGCCCCTACCCTTCCTCGTCCGCGTCCCCCATCCCCCAGAACACGCGTTCCACTCCCCTGTGCCATCTCTCTTCCTCCACCGCCGGCTGATGGGCGTTGGGCCCCAAGCATTCGCGCCTCTCGCTGAGCAGCGCACAGAGGCCCGCTGCCACTGCTCGCTCGTCCCCCACGTGCACACCTTTTTCTGGCAAGATTCCTGCGCGGCAACTGCCTGCCGACAACGTGCGCGCGCGCACTCAAATTCTTGCACGCTTGCCAGCGTGAACTTGGGCTCGGGTCCATTCCGAGATGGCTCATCTGCCCCGAGACTGACGCGGACGACGCGGCCGTCGCCGAAGCGCGCCGAGAAGGCAACACCCAACTACTGGCCCCATTCCACACCGAGTTGGGACCTGCCTGTCCGGGGACCCCCACGGACCGGGGCCCTTGGGCCCGGTTTAGCGTTGCGGGGCCTGGCTTGGCTCGCGCGAAGTAGGCACAGCCCCGGCTCCCAACCTGGCCCGCGACTGCTGTCTGAGTATCTCCGCTGGGAGAAGTGAAGCCGAGTGTTTGGAGGTGGCGACTGCCCCTCGTGATCGGCCTCCTCGGAGGCGGAGGGCGGTGCACGGGTCCGAGGGAGGAATGGGCGGGCGGGCGCATCGGCGGGCGCCGCGGCGGGCGGCTGCGCGCTCAGCGCCTCCAGGCGTTCGCGCAGGCTGCCGACCTCCCGGGAGAGCTCGGCGAGCTGCCCGGGCGCCGCCTGGCGCCGCGGCCCGTCCCCGCTGCCTCCCCTCCCCTCCGCGTCGCCTCCCGCCCCCTTCCCGTCGGCCCCGCCCCCCCCCCTACCGCCCTTCCTCCCCCATCCCGCCTCACGTGCCACCCACCCCCGTCCACTCCGCCGCCGCTGCAGCCCCGCCTGCAGCCCAAACCCCGCCTCGCCCGTCTCACCTCCGCCATCCCCCTCGACTGCCCCTACCCCTTCCTCGTCCGCGTCCCCATCCCCAGAACACGCGTTCCACTCCCCTGCTGCCATCTCTCTTCCTCCCCCCCTGTGCTGATGGCGTTGGGCCCCAAGCATTCGCGCCTCTCGCTGAGCAGCGCCAGAGCCCGCTGCCACTGCTCGCTCGTCCCCCCACGTGCACACCTTTTTCTGGCAAGATTCCTCGACGCCGGCAACTGCCTGCCGCAACGTGCCGCGCGCGCACTCAAAATCTTGCCACGCTTGCCAGCGTGAACTTGGGCTCGGGCCCATGTCGAGATGGCTCATCTGCCCCGAGACTGACGCGGACGACGCGGCCGTCGCCGAAGCGCGCCGAGAAGGCAACACCCAACTTCTGGCCCCATTCCACACAGAGTTGGGACCTGCCTGTCCGGGGACCCCCACGGACCGGGGCCCTTGGGCCCGGTTTAGCGTTGCGGGACCTGGCTTGGCTCGCGCGACGTGGCACCGCGTGGCTCCAACCTGGCCCGGACCTGCTCTGCGTGGATCTTCGCTGGGCTGAAGTGAAGCCGAGTGTTTGATGGAGGCTGGGACCTGCCCGTGATCGGCCCTCTCGGGGTGGCGGGCGGCGCACGGTTCCGAGGCGAGGAATTGGGCGGCGGGCGCCTCGGCGGGCGCCTCGGCGGGCGCCGCGGCGGGCGGCTGCGCGCTCAGCGCCTCCAGGCGTTCGCGCAGGCTGCCGACCTCCCGGGAGAGCTCGGCGAGCTGCCCGGGCGCCGCCTGGCGCCGCGGCCCGTCCCCGCTGCCTCCCCTCCCCTCCGCGTCGCCTCCCGCCCCCTTCCCGTCGGCCCCGCCCCCCCCCCTACCGCCCTTCCTCCCCCATCCCGCCTCACGTGCCACCCACCCCCGTCCACTCCGCCGCCGCTGCAGCCCCGCCTGCAGCCCAAACCCCGCCTCGCCCGTCTCACCTCCGCCATCCCCCTCGACTGCCCCTACCCCTTCCTCGTCCGCGTCCCCATCCCCAGAACACGCGTTCCACTCCCCTGCTGCCATCTCTCTTCCTCCCCCCCTGTGCTGATGGCGTTGGGCCCCAAGCATTCGCGCCTCTCGCTGAGCAGCGCCAGAGCCCGCTGCCACTGCTCGCTCGTCCCCCCACGTGCACACCTTTTTCTGGCAAGATTCCTCGACGCCGGCAACTGCCTGCCGCAACGTGCCGCGCGCGCACTCAAAATCTTGCCACGCTTGCCAGCGTGAACTTGGGCTCGGGTCCATTCCGAGATGGCTCATCTGCCCCGAGACTGACGCGGACGACGCGGCCGTCGCCCGAAGCGCGCCGAGAAGGCAACACCCAACTTCTGGCCCCATTCCACACAGAGTTGGGACCTGCCTGTCCGGGACCCCCACGGACCGGGGCCCTTGGGCCTGGTTTAGCGTTGCGGGGCCTGGCTTGGCTCGCGCGACGTGGCACCGCGTGGCTCCAACCTGGCCCGGACCTGCTCTGCGTGGATCTTCGCTGGGCTGAAGTGAAGCCGAGTGTTGATGGAGCTGGGACCTTGCCAGTGATCCCGCCTCTCGGGCGCGGGCGGGCACGGTTCGATTGGGCGGCGGGCGCCTCGGCGGGCGCCGCGGCGGGCGGCTGCGCGCTCAGCGCCTCCAGGCGTTCGCGCAGGCTGCCGACCTCCCGGGAGAGCTCGGCGAGCTGCCCGGGCGCCGCCTGGCGCCGCGGCCCGTCCCCGCTGCCTCCCCTCCCCTCCGCGTCGCCTCCCGCCCCCTTCCCGTCGGCCCCGCCCCCCCCCCCTACCGCCCTTCCTCCCCCATCCCGCCTCACGTGCCACCCACCCCCGTCCACTCCGCCGCCGCTGCAGCCCCGCCTGCAGCCCAAACCCCGCCTCGCCCGTCTCACCTCCGCCATCCCCCTCGACTGCCCCTACCCCTTCCTCGTCCGCGTCCCCATCCCCAGAACACGCGTTCCACTCCCCTGCTGCCATCTCTCTTCCTCCCCCCCTGTGCTGATGGCGTTGGGCCCCAAGCATTCGCGCCTCTCGCTGAGCAGCGCCAGAGCCCGCTGCCACTGCTCGCTCGTCCCCCCACGTGCACACCTTTTTCTGGCAAGATTCCTCGACGCCGGCAACTGCCTGCCGCAACGTGCCGCGCGCGCACTCAAAATCTTGCCACGCTTGCCAGCGTGAACTTGGGCTCGGGTCCATGTCGACATGGCTCATCTGCCCCGAGACTGACGCGGACGACGCGGCCGTCGCCGAAGCGCGCCGAGAAGGCAACACCCAACTTCTGGCCCCATTCCACACAGAGTTGGGACCTGCCTGTCCGGGGACCCCCACGGACCGGGGCCCTTGGGCCCGGTTTAGCGTTGCGGGGCCTGGCTTGGCTCGCGCGACGTGGCACCGCGTGGCTCCAACCTGGCCCGGACCTGCTCTGCGTGGATCTCCGCTGGGCTGAAGTGAAGCCGAGTGTTTGATGGAGGCTGGGACCTGCCCGAGGTCGGCCCTCTCGGGGCGGCGGGCGGCGCACGGTTCCGAGGCGAGGAATTGGGCGGCGGGCGCCTCGGCGGGCGCCGCGGCGGGCGCCGCGGCGGGCGGCTGCGCGCTCAGCGCCTCCAGGCGTTCGCGCAGGCTGCCGACCTCCCGGGAGAGCTCGGCGAGCTGCCCGGGCGCCGCCTGGCGCCGCGGCCCGTCCCCGCTGCCTCCTCCCCCCCTCCGCGTCGCCCCCCGCCCCCTTCCCGTCGGCCCCGCCCCCCCCCCCCACCGCCCTTCCTCCCCCATCCCGCCTCACGTGCCACCCACCCCCGTCCACTCCGCCGCCGCTGCAGCCCCGCCTGCAGCCGTGTGTGCGTGTGTGCGTGTGTGCGTGCGTGCGTGTGTGCGCGCGTGCGTGTGCGCGTGTGTGTGCGAGTGTGTGCGTGTGTGTGTGTGTGTTTGTGTGTGCGTGTGTGGGTGCGCGTTTGTGCGCGTGCGCGTGCGCGTGCGCGTGCGTGCGTGGCGTGTGCATGCGTGTGCGTGCGTGTGCGTGTGTGTGCGTGCGTGTGCGTGCGCGTGTGTGCGTGTGTGCGTGTGCGCGTGTGTGTGTGTGTGTGTCTGTGTGTGCGCGTGTGTTTGTGTGTGTGCGTGCGATCGTGCGCGTGCGTGCGCGAGCGTGCGCGTGCCCGTGCGCATGCGCATGGGCGTGCGCGTACGCGTGCGCGTGTGCGCGTGCGTGCGTGCATTCGCGCTTGCGCACGTGCGCGCGTGCGCGCGTGCGCGCGTGCGCGCGTGCGTGCGTGTGTGCGTTTGCGTGCACGTGCGCATGCGCGTGCGCGTGCGCGTGCGCGTGTGCCTGTGTGCGCGTATGTGCCTGTGTGTCTGTGTGTCTGTGTGCCTGTGTGCCTGTGTGTCTGTGTGTCTGTGTGTCTGTGTGTCTGTGTGTCTGTGTGTCTGTGTGTGTGCGTGCGTGCGTGCGTGCGTGCGTGCATGCGTACGTGCGTTGTGCGTGCGTGCGTGCGTGCGTGCGTGTGTGCGTGTGTGTGTGCGCCGCCGCCGGGCGCCGTCTCCCCCCTCCTGCATGGTGGCCCAATTCGCGTTCCGTGCCTCCCACCGACGCCGCTTTCGCCAGCGCAGTGACTCTGCCTAGCCACCGGCGCAAAAAAGGTGTGTGTGTGTGTGTGGTGTGTGTTGTCTGTCTTGAGTGTGATGCGTGTGTGTGGTGAGTGAGTTGTGTGTGTGAATGGTGTTTTGCGTGTTGTGTGTAGTGTGTTGCATGTTGTGTGTTGTGTGTTGGATCTTGTGTGTTGTGTGCTGTGTGTTGTGTGTTGTGCGTTGTGCGCTGTGTGTTGTGTGTTGCCTGTTGTCTGTTGTGTGCGTGTGCGTGTGCGTGCGCGTGCGAGTGTGCGTGTGCGTGTGCGTATGCGTGTGCGTGTGCGTGTGCGTGCGCGTGCGTCTGCGCGTGCGCTTGCATGTGCGTGTGCGTGTGCGTGTGCGTGTGCGTGTGCGCGTGCGTGTGCGTGTGGGCGCGCGCGTGGCGCGTGCGCGTGCGTGCGCGCGCGTGGCGTGTGCGCGTGCGCGTGCGCGTGCGAGTGCGAATGCGTGTGCGTGTGCGTGTGCATGTGCGTGTGCGTGTGCGTGTGCGGGTGCGTGTGCGGGTGCGTGTGCGTGAGTGTGTGCGTGCGCGTGTGCGTGCGCGTGTGCGTGAACGTGTGCGTGTGCGTGTGTGTTTGCGAGTGCGTGTCCGTGTGCGTGTGCGTGTGCGTGTGCGTGTGTGTGTGCGTGTGCGTGATGTGTGTTGTGTGTGTTGTGTTTGTGCGTTGTGTGTTGTGTGTTGTGTGGTGTGCGTTGTTTGTTGTTTGTTGTGTGCTGTGTGCTGTGTGTTCTGTGTTGTGTGTGATGTTGTGTGTTGCGTATTGTGCATTGTGTGGTGTATGCTGTGTGTTGCGTGTTGTGTGGTGTGTGCTGTGTGTTGTGTGGTGTGTGTTGTGTGTTCTGTGGTGTGCGTTGTGTGTGGTGTGCTGAGTGATGTGTGTTGTGTGGTGTGATGTGTGGTGTGTGCTGTGTGTTGTGTGTGCTGTGTGTTGTTAGTTGTGCGTGATGTGTTGTGTGTTGTGTGCTGTGCTGTGTGTGGTGTGTGCTGTGTGTTGTGCGTTGTGTGTTGTGCGTTGTGCGGTGTGGGCTGTGCTGTGTGTTGTGTGTTGTGTGCTGTGTGTTGCGTGTCGTGTGTTGTGTGTTGATTGTGTACTGTGTGTTGTGCGCTGTGTGTTGTGTGTTGTGTGGTGTGTGTTGTGTGCTGTGTGCTGTGTGCTGTGTGCTGTTTGCAGTGTGCTGCGTGCTGTGTGCTGCGTGATGTGTGTTGTGTGGTGTGTGTTGTGCTGCATGTTGTGTATGGTGCGTTGTGTGTAGAATGTTGTGTGTTGTGTGTCGTGCGCTGTGCGTGCTGCATTGTGCGTTGTGTGGTGTGCGGTGTGCGGTGTGTGTTGTGCGTTGTGTGTTGTGCGCTGTGTGGTGTGGGCTGTGTTGTGGGTTGTGTGTTGTGTGCTGTGTGCTGTGTGTCGGGTGTTGTGTGTTGATTGTGTGCTGTGTGTTGTGTGTTGTGTGTTGTGTGCTGTGTGTTGTGTGATGTGTGCTGTGTGCTGTGTGCTGTGTGCTGTGTGCTGCGTGCTGCGTGCTGTGTGCTGTGTGATGTGTGTGTTGTGTGGTGTGTGGTGTATGTTGTATATTGTGGACGGTGCGTTGTGGTGTGTGCTGTGTTGCGTGTTGTGTGCTGCGTGTTGTGGGTTGTGTTGCGGATTGCGTGTTGTGTCCTCTGTGGCGGGTGTTGAGCGTTGCGCGATGTGTGCTGAGTGATGTACGTTTGTGTGGTGTGTGCCGTGTGTTGTGTGCCGGGTGTGGCGTGTTGTGTTGTGTGGTGTGTGTTGTGTGGTGTGTGCGTGTGTTGTGTGTTATGTGTAATGGTTTGTGTGCTGTGTGTTGTGTGGTATGTGTGTTGTACGTTGTATGTCGTGTGTCGTGTGATGTGTGTTGTGGTTTGTGTGTTATGTGTTGTGTGGTGTGTGCTGTGTGCTGTGTGCTGTGTGCTGCGTGTTGTGGTTAGTGTGTTGTGTGCTGCATGTTGTGTGTTGTGTGTTGTATGTTGTGTGGTATGTGTTATGTGTTGTGTGTTGTGTACTCTGGTGTGGGTTTTGTGTTGTGCACTGCGTGTTGTGTGTCTGCGTGTTGTGTGTTGTCTGGTGTGTGTTGTGTGTTGTGTGTTGCGTTTTGTCTGTTGTGTGTTGTGTGGTATGCTGTGTTGTGTGGTGTGTGGTGTGTGGTG